GACAGCACGAGAGATTGGAATGAAAAGCTCATCTTCCCAGTTCCAAGTGTAGGAGTTGACTCAAAACTGGATGATTACGCGGAACTTTTGTTTTCGGTTCGACCAAGAACCAAGTTGAATTGAAACATGATAACTGAACCAAGTTGGGTTTCTGGAAGCCACGATAAGCCACTCGCGAAACATGCCTTCTCGCTTGGTGTGAAGGTTCCGTAAGCGGTGACGGATCGGTGACCGATCGACGTCCCACCCAGTGGGATGTCGGTCGGTGCAAAAAGAGCTATAGCACCCGAACTCGGCCAGGCTGTTAGTTGAGGGTTGTTGGACCCTGTCTCAGGTCGAACCATTGGTGACCTGTCGGAGGGTCCTGGTAGGTCATGTTTGAATGATCATTTGTTGCAGGAATTCTGTCTCAGGGCTCGATCGAAGGCAATATCGGCCGCTCTGGAATCAGTGTTGGAAGGAAAATAAGGGGCACACATGTTCATGTCAAAAGCCTTTGCCATGCTGTCACGTGTCATTCCAAAGTGAGTGCACCAAATGGTTGATTGTTGGGAGAAGGTGCCATTTCTTGACCATGAGAGTCGCGCCGGCGCCTGCCCAGCAAAGCCTCCATCATTTGGAGTTGCCTTGGATTCTCACAGCGAGGTAAACTTGGCCAAGACCCCAAGTTGCCAAGACCAGCGCCTGGACAAAGGGGTCTCCAGTCTAGACCTACATGACATTGCTTGCAGATCTCCATTGAGCACCCATTAGTTGGCCGGTCCAGGTATGATCGTTTCAATATATAGTATATATATATATATCATTATATATCATATTGTATGGTCAAAACATGTCAAAACGCTGTAGATCTGCTCAACACCATTCGTCACCTCAAAAACAGGAGCAACTTTACAGTCTGAATCTGACTCCCGAGCTGTTTCCCTGGAACATAAAGGTGAACCGAACTTTCCACTGGTTCCTTTTTGGTGGGGAAACTCTCCAAATCCCCCCAGTTGACGGTTTCACAGGTTATCCATCGACTAGGTAAGATCTCCCCACATTCCATGTCTTTCAGCTTCCACCTTCCTCCATCTCAAGGGGCGCTTCGTCAAGGCCTGGTTTTCTTTTGACGCGTTCGGAACGGAAGAACTGCACAGAAGTGAATTCAGATCGGATTCATTTGGGACCGGCGCAAAGAATGAACAAAAAATACACTCGACCCTGAATTCATGCTTCCATGGAGTTCAAAAGACCGCTTTGGTCATCGGAAAATGGTCATGCTTTCGGGACCATGCCATCCACATGATACTTCGAGTCTACATGGATCTACATGGACCCCCTCAAGCCCCAAACGTAGACAGGGCTTCTTGGCAGTCCTATCTTCTTGGCGGTGCAAAGGGGCCGGTACCACCCCACTCCCACCGGTCTGGGTCTATTTATCAAACTGCTACAGCTGTGAGAACGGTGAAATGAACTGAAGTCTTACTTGCTTACTTATACTACCTACCGACCTACTGATACCGACCTACCGACGACGACGACGACTTCTACCACTTGCCATCCCTAGCCATCCCCCACGAGCTCTAACCCCTCCCTCTTAATTAAGTCCTTCTATCCCTCCAAGGTGCTTGTCCTTGTCCGCGCATCGCTTCCTCTCTTTCGCCAGCTCTTGCTCCAAATTCAGGAGCGCTGTGGTGTCATTGCATTCCGCGCTCCCCACAGCCATGGCGTTTGCACAGCCGCCGAGTTTCAGCGCACGACCGGCAGTCCGCCCACGACTGGAGCCAGATTGGGGGGGGCGGTGCTTGGAGGCCGACTCGCAAGTTTTTGTGGAGAATTCTGGGAAAGAATACCTGGGAGTTACATCAATCAAATACTCTCTGCACTGGTTACGTGGATGGCGGACTCGCTACGACCAAGGAGAGTTTTCTGAAGACCATTTCGAGGGTGTGAACTCCACTTCCATGTTCGTCAGTCGGAGTGTACATAGCACAGAAACTGCTAAAATTTGGAACCATTTAGAACTCCCGGAGGACATCGGGACATCGGGACATCGGATCCACAGGATCGACCGAATGCAACGTCCGTATTTATTCACGAACGAGCATTGGATGCATGAACGTTCCTTAGACTCTCCTTAGATCCATCGCCGAAAGGTGTTTGCCTTCACAAAAAGGAGCCGTTGTGCATTCAACTGATCTTAGGAGCTTCGAACCATTCTCCCCACTGTCACCACGTCCCCCCCACTGCCCAGCGAGCAGCGCATGCCGTCCGCACCTGCGCCACGTTCAGCTGCACAGCGCCATGCTCCTTGGCCGGGATGAGGCGGTTCGTCGCCTCAGGACCGACCAGAGCGGCGAAGAGGAAATGACACCACTTCCACCAGCGCTCAGCCACGAGGGCAAAAGTTGTTTTTTTCCAAAACCACCGGTTCTTAAGTATACGCTTGCGTTTGCCTCAAGATCCTTAACATCAATCAGGTCAGCAATGGCGTTCCTGATTCGGACCAGGGCTTCACATTTGAGCATGTTGGATAGATGATGAGCGTTTTTTTTGAAGGCGGTCTAAGGCTTGCAGTGCTGAATTGTAATCAAACACATACAAGATTACATAAGTGTGTTCTTCTGTTGTCGTACTCGTTCATCAATTTCTGCACACAACACCTTTTGTGTGGGCAAGGGCTGACGTCTCTATGTTCAGTGCTTTGCACTTTTGGTTGTATCTTCATTAAAGATATAGCAGGGCCTCCTAAGGAGTGGTTCATGGACATCCCTTAGCCTCTCAGGGGCTATAGTTAGACACCCTGAAAGGGGCCCTGATACTTGACTGTCGCAGATTCACAGATTCTTCCTTCTACATAAGGTGCGGTTCTGTAATCAAAGTTCGCCTCCACTATCACCAGGAGATTTGCTGGCAAGAAAGACCTACTCGCAACCCAACCACCATGGCAGGCCTCAGGCCTGGTCCACCGCCCCGAACAGCGACCCAACCAGCGGCACCCCTGATGCGACCCTCCCGAGGCAGGTGCCGAGCACTTCCGAGGCAGGTAGAGGTCCACCTCAGCTCGCGCGCGGCACACCCGAGACACACCCACCGTACCGGTGTGAAACGAACGCAACCGTTGGGGGATTGCAGGTCGGCTGGTGTGGGGCGGACCGCAGGCTTTTCTGCGCCGGTGACAGTCAGAAAGCCGCTTGGTAGCAGTGTTTCTCTGTTATTTTTTGCTGTGGGAATCAGTTGTTTTCCGGTCCAAGTTGCACCAGTCAGTCAGTTTGCCGGACAAATGAAAAGTAAAAATAAACGCAATTGTATACACACATGGGGCAGAAAGGGTTCCTCAATTCACTCATTGTCGTTTTCCCACGGTTCCCTCATGGTGAGTTCCGTTCAAAAGTGTTTTGTGTTCAGATTTAAATTTGCTGCCAAAGATTTCTACCCATTGGGGAAGGGTTTGCTTCGAGTCCGAAGCTTTTGTCGGGTCTGACCGGCCTGTACGGATTAGGGCAGAGTAGATCGAGGTCCTGTGGACTGTTGAGGATTTCACGAAAATCCCAGATCTGAATCTCCAAGACGTTGCGACTTCCGGCACCCAGGTGTGCCACACGTTGCGACTGCATGTAGACGACGGTCCCCACCGGTGCTTCACACCCCGACGCTTCCGAAGTCCCAGGAACGATGCGCCCCTCGTCGTTCTGCATGGTTTCTGCCCTGGGTGCAGATCCGGAGGATCGAGCGAAACCAAGGTGCCCAGCTGTGAGACGTGGTGTATCCCAGCAACCCTCGGGATGTTCTTCCCTCCTTGCAGCCTATTGCCACCTTCTTGTCTTGTCCCTAGGCCCTAGGCTTCCTGGCCCACCATTAATCTAATAGGATTGACCGAATCAACTAAGGATTGTCCACTACCAAAACCCAGGTCGTTCCCATTGTTTTGAATGGTCGAACGGAGAAGTCTTCTTGTCTTGTTACACGGCTTGGCTTTCTGTCGAAATATCCTAGGTCGGTTGGGTCTGAGATCCGAGACTTCACTACAAAAACCAGATCTCCGACTTGAAGGTGAGATGATGCCTCTCGAAGGCCACAGGCGGGTGCCCTGCTACATGAACAGGTCCTTGACAAGATAGTGTGGTAATGGAGAAGATGCGAAGGGGTATAGGCTAGCTAGCTAGTCTAGGCCGCCTCAATGCTCAAACATAGCGAGAAATGTGGAACACCGGATGATAACACCCGCACGATCATGTCCACGCCAAGGCTGCAATTCGCTGGAAAGCTTGAACCCGTCAAAAACGGGTCCCCGATTCATCTCAATCAAATAAACTGCCCAACTCGGAGATGTTTCGCCCCGAAAGCAAAGCAACATGGCAATTGGAGGCAAAAAAGAATTGCCAAAGGTCTAGCTGCTCCCCATCTGTCATCTTCCCAAACACTCCTACTGTAACACCCCTTGGTCTGATAAAACCTACCAACCTACTAATAGGCATTTGTTCGACCCCAGTCACACCTCCAAAAGAACGTTCCATCTACGGTTACTTTCCAACTTTCCAATGTCTCAGAACGGGAAGAACAGCCGAGCTTTCTCCTGTACTTTCAGTCGTCCAACACCGATCCACAACCGCACTGCGCCTCACGGGATGCCCAACCCCGCTCGTGCTTGAGCCCACGTCGCTGCAGGCAGGAAAAAGAAGCAGCTCCCAAGAGCTGCGGTCAAGCAGCCAACGAGCTGCAGAAGGAAGCGCGGCACGTGGGCACAAATCCCGTTTTTGTCCGGTGTTTCAACTTGAAGGACCTTCCAACAGGTGGTTTTGGGATACCCCTTAACCACACTAAGAGGCTAGCTATTTATTGACAGCTCTCGGAAGGTCCTGGCAGAAGGGTAACAAACAACCGTGAAAATCACCATCAACCCCCCAAACCAGCCCCCGAAACGGCGCGGAGGCCGCCGTCCTCACACTGTGCTGCACCGGGGCACCGTGGGCACCGCTACTCTCCTCGTCCCCGGCGGTCGCCCGGGGGCCCCGAGCCGGGTCCACCAACGGGCAAGATCTGGTTCTTCTTCGCCTGGAGCGGGAGCGGTCCGGCGGCGGAACCCGCCGATCCGGCGGTGTCCAACGCGACGTAGGAATCCGAGGCGAAAAACGTGAGGTGACCAGTGACCAGGTGGAACGTAGAGCCAATCAGACCAGCTGGGCCGAAAATGCAGCATAAGGAATAAAGATTGGAAGGTGTGGCGTTAGGTTTCTTGGACCACGCTCTATAACTGGAGTGGTTCATTCTCAAAGTCAATACCCAAGGCAGCTGAACTTAATCAAGCGGTTGGTTGGCATCAAGTGGGTAGATTTATGAGTTGTCTCACGCCAAATATTGAGTCAACAAAGGAACCGTCAAATTGAGACGAATTGATAATTCTGATGTGATGATCATTGGCATAGCAACAAGTGGTACATTGCTGGTGCTGAGCTGCTCAGTAGGGAATGAGGGAATGAGTCCCCAGTTAATAGAGATTGCTTTGGATCCTTTCTCCCATTCCCTACTAAGCACCAATCAGATTATTGTACGATATGGTACATTAGTACATTATGGTACATTGTTATACATGTGTCCACCCACAATACCTAGCTATAGGGTATCACAGGTCAGTTTGCAGGACCTGCATGCACTTTGAAAACCATGTTGGTAAGCGGACCGGCCCGCCCATCTTGGTAGTTGGTTCAGAGCTTGGAGAAGGCTTGAAGTGAATCGCCTATCTAAACCGAGGAAAACGACGAGTTGCACCCATTCAGCACAGCTTGCAACAGCTGGCAATGGATCGTTTCACCTTCAAGTTTGCTCTTTTGTATTTAGTTCTTCCTTGTTTGAGGGTATACCTAGCCAGGACATTTCTCAGCAGAGTTTGACCAAATTGCTGTATGATTACCGTACACCAATTCAATTTGATACAAAACAATCACGCCCCAAACGCACCTACAGACGGGCCATCATTCAACCTGAGGGCATCCTCCGAAAGAACGCAGGACCCTTTTCCCACAAGGACGCGTTTCTTACATCCCCCTCTCCTCCTCCGCCCTGGCTGTCTCCAGCTCGCTGCATGGCCCACTTGGCCGCCCTGGCTGGATCCCAAAAGCAGTCGGCCATGAAGGACGCCAAGTCCTCTAGAGACGACGCGACGCGGACGAGCCGACGGGCGGGCGACGGCGGAGCCTGCACGACGGTTGGACGGTCGAAAGGGAGACCTCCCAGGCAGCGTTGGGAGCCCGCTGAAGAAGGACATATATATATATATATACCATAGTCTATACCCATCCAGGGGGTCTTCCTATTGCACCTCCAAGTCGTAGTCCACGACAGTCCGATACGAACGTTAGACACATTGGTATATGTATTCTCCGCCGGATGAGTATTCTCGTGATGCTCTAAGAGCAATTGTTTCATGCATGAGTCAGAAGCTATCATAAATTCTGCAAAACCCTTCCCTCAAAAGGAATCCGATTCATGTCTTTTTGGTCGCCCAAAGCAAGCCCCGTCAACACCAGCCTCTCCGCTGAACCCGGTCCTCTTCGCTGATGGGCTTGCACCTCACCTGGTCAGCCGTCACCCAGTCGGTTCTGCTTCTTGGACTGAAACACATCCCAGTTGCGATGGGTTTCCAGGAGTACAACAGCCCAACAAAAAACCGAACAACCGTTCCCAAGTCCAGTCTGACCCAGTAAAGCCATGGGTCTTTAAAAAAGTTTTTGGTGTATGACCAACTCCAGTTAAAGGAGGTCTTTGACTTGTAGGGATTGTTTTACTACGGAAATTTACACTATAACGTAACCAGTTCAACCGTCTTCGATCGGAGACCACCGTTTACACAAGAACAAAACCATCCATCCCAAGCCAAACCCCGCATCCCCCACACCAGAATGCTCAGCTCAAATAACCTCCGCTTCTCCGACTCACCTGATGTCCCGTTCCGCTCCGCTGGTGCCAATGCCGCGCGCGCGGTTCCGGCGCCTCGGTGCCGTCGCCGAACATCACGTAGGGCGCTCCACCCTTCACGCCTTTCACCTTCGGCGAGGTGGAAGGGAAGGTGTGTCCTTTTGTCACGTCTGTGGAGGGGGGTGGTACCAGTAGGTAAAGGGATGGTTGACCTCAAAAGGTATTGCTCCAAGTTCATTCTGAAGACGTGTGACTTCTATCCTCATTCTGAACGAAACGCGACAGCCTTGACAGCCAAATTTCACCAAAACTGCAAATATCGTAGGAGATACAACTTCGTGAGGCGTGTAGAGTCTTGGGACACTCATTGGAAATTCTATGGCCCATGCTCACTCATGTACTGTCACTACTGTGGGTATTCACCAAATCTGAAAGCCTGAAACTCTTGTAGCTACGCAGCTACACTAACACTCACTGACGATGTCGGAGGCGATGGGCCCGGCGGCAGCCACCCAGCGGTGCACCCGTGGCAGCGAAGCAAACACAGCATTCAACATCACCCGTCAACCAAAGAAGGCAAACAACAAATTGGAGGATCCCCATTGCTGCAATTGGTGGGAACCCTAAGGTTCAGTCATTCGTAAATAGATCATGTCGTGTTTTGGGCCGCAATTCCGAATACTGGACTGGCGCTGGGTAAGACAAAAACACCCCAAACCCACCTGGCACCACCCCAATGTATGCAAATATGTCATACACAGATGGTCTGGGTATATGTAGATCGATGCACTCCCCGGTCCCAGGTCCCCAACGGTCTCCACCTGGCCTGTCCCAAGAGGGACTTGAAGAAGGCGGTGGGACGCACCTCGGAAAGCTGGCAGTGCGAGTGACACCATCGGAAACACCACGGAAACCACAGGTCACGGGTACCCATTGATAACCGCTGAGGACACGCGTTTCTCTTATGCAACCACCCTTTTGGGTCGCTGCAAGCGAGGAATTGGAGTGCTTAAAAGACTCCCTACCGTGGAAACGGCCGCACGGAGCTGGGTGCAGGTGAAAAATAGCACAAACTGGGTGAAGTTTTAGCCCATCTGACTCTTACAAAACGACACCAGCACCTCCAACACCTTGCCTCTGTTGCACAGTCATGGTGCTAGGTCATGGTATATGTCTTGGGTTGTAATCGAAGCTTTTTGGCTATCCCCAGGCATTCATAGTTGATAATCAATTCCATCGTGGTTTTTCCTTGGAAAGTCACATGGTTGGAGCATCTTCTTCAGTGCTCACAGAGCGTGAGATAGGAGGAGTCATAGCTCCCGGATGTACCTGGGGTCTCAAAGTACTTCAGAAAAGGATCTACCTGCTTTTATATGTCATCATGTTTTTATCGGTCGAGTATGGCGTTGACTGGGTAACCGGGTCGGGATTCCGGTTGACCGGGATCCGGTCAGACCCCCCCCACCCCGGTCAGCCGGTCAGCCCGGTCAGCGGCCTGGTTCGAGCCGATGTAGTAGCCGGTTAATTGGGTTGATCAAATTGAATTGGTTTGAATTTTATTGAATTAGAATTGAGCCGAGTTGGCCAGAAAACCGGCTGATAGAAGAAAATTTAATAGATTCAATTACAAATACATTTACATAAAATAGATCGCCTAACCGGCTGACCGGGCGCGGCTAACCGGGCTGACCGGACCAGGTTGACCCGGCCCGGCTGGTCGGCTAACCGGGCTGACTGGACCGGGCTGACTGGGCCCGGCTGGTCGGCTAACCGGGCTGACCGGACCGGGCTGACCGGGCCCGGCTGGTCGGCTAACCGGCCTGACTGGACCGGGCTGACCGGGCCCCGCTGGTCGGCTAACCGGGCTGACCGGACCGGGTTGACCGGGCCCGGCTGGTCGGCTAACCGGGCTGACCGGACCGGGCTGACCGGGCCCGGCTGACCGGGCCCGGCTGGTCGGCTAACCAGGCTGACCGAACCGGGTTGACCGGGCCCGGCTGTTTTGGAAAACTCTTTCGCTCAGATGTTCGGCACTACCTATTTATACCTGATATACCCTGAGGATCCGATATTGAAAAGATCAATATCGCGAAAAGTTTTCAATAATATTGAACTTGCATTTGTTCAATCGCGGTTGTTTTTTCAATATTGAAGAGTGAAAAAATAATCAATATTTTTGATCAATATCGACCAATATCATGATCAAGATCAAGACCAATATCAATGTCAAAAGATACTCCACAGGATCTCCACAGGAACTCCACAGGATCTCGACAGGATTCTAAACTCCACAGGAACTCCACACGATCTTCACAGGATCTCCACGATCAATATTAACCAATATCATGATCAATATCATGATTCGAACCTATGTTGCACATACCGGTCCAACATACGCATTGGCAAAAATCATCGTACTGGAGACCTAGATTTGAAGTGATTTGGAGAAAAACATAAATTTTGGATCATCTTGGCAACAAAAGAAAACAGTATGATTCTGTGTGAAGATCTTGGAATCAAACCCGGTCTTCTTCACTCTTTCGTGCAGCTGGTGCCTGCTCGAGAAGGGCTGTCTGCTCTTTTGCCATGGAGACTGGCAAGCTTCCAGCTGTGATCCCGGAAGTGCCCATCGCGCTGGAAGCTTTGAAAGAGCACCTACAGAGGAAGTTTCCATTCCCCAAGACTGAAGGCTGGCTTTGATTCCACAATCTTCACACAATTAATTCGGTCGCCAAGATGGTCCAAAAAATCCTATGTTATATCATATCATGTTATTCTCAAAATCACTTCAAATCTAGGTCTCCAAAACGAGTTATTGAGAAGGAGTTGATTGGCATATTGTGCCATCTCCTGTGTCAGGCCGCAAGAGCAGAGCGCAACACTTGGAGACATCCTATATGATCACAGAGATCTTTGCTCGCGGTGCCGCGATTTGTCGAGGCTTGAAGAGTGTCGCCTATCTGCTCAGGCTTTCGATGTTCGCCGGCGTGCTACCCACAATGTTCACACGCCCCTTGGATTGAAGATTCCTTGCTGCCCCACTTTCTACCGCCCTTTGGGCGTCGCCACTGCGGCGAAATTTTGCTTCCACTTCGTGGAAACTTGGCTTCCACTGCTTGATTTCGCCTCAGCGCAATCGCAGACAACGTGCTTCACTATGCAAGTGACAAGCCGCAACCCCTATAATCCGTTCGTGGAGCATCAAATGTTGAAATAATGAGGTATGATTATTGAGCAGGAGTATTTGATTTCAACAAAGGAATAGACAATGATTGATTAATGGTGAAAGGAAACATGGTTGATACAACACCTTCAGATGAGATACTGAAAAAGAACAAAGAAGTTGAAAGTGTATGTAGTAGATGTGTGGAGAATGTAAAGGTCAAAACATTGAGTACATCAGTAGTAAGTATGAAAGGAATGACAAATTCGGTTTCAAAGCACAAGAACTACAAAAGGAACTACCAGAGGAGTTTTAAAACATAGTGAATGAGAGGAAAGAAAAGCATAGTGAAGAAAGGTACTTAAGCATTAACTATATGACACGGTTGGTGGTTCTATGGAAGACAGTTCAAGAGCAAATGAATAGAATAGACAAGTGACAAGTTCGAAAGGAAGTGGCAGACCTGAAAGGAAAACCTATGGAATTACCTTTTATAGGGATAACTTTCTTTATGAGGTTGTTTAAGTGCAAAAATGCTTCCAAGGGATGCGAGAAATGCAAAAAACAAACCCGACGTCACAGACATCCAGAGGGTGTCCTTTTTCCCCACCTGCCAGGTGAGGGTTGTTAGATTTTATCACAGCTGTTCTTCCTCCGCCTCCGCCTCCGCCTCCGCCTCCGCCTCCGCCTCCGCCTCCGCCGCCTCCTCGTCCTCCTCCTTCCTCCTTCCTCCTTGCTTCCTTCCTCGCCAATCTGCTTCGCCGATCTTGTCTGGCCAGCTCCGGATCGCAGTGTGCATCCCTGGACCTCAACCGCAAGGATCCGATCGCAGTGTGCACCCCTGGA